TTCCTGCCTGAGCTGGCTTTGAAACACGATCCAGATCTCTGCCTCTTGAGAGCTAGGATTACAGGCATGAGCCACCAGCACCCAGCTTCATGTAAAAAAAAAAAAAAAAGGTTCATGCAGATACAAGAAAACAATATGATGCTACTGGACACAGGCCAAGGCTTCTAACAAGCCTAGGCCCTTCAAAAGGGTAATTAACTAGCATTTCCTTGGTTGTTTAGGACCTCACTACCCCATGAGCCCAATATCCACAGGGAAGCTCCAGTCATACCACATCCATACATTCACTCCACGCCGCCCCACCCAGCCCAGGACTCTCAACAAAGGCAGTGGCCCCATTAAGTCTCCCAGGCCCTGCAAAGGCCCAAGAATTCCAATAGAACTGGAATTTCCAATTCCTATAGAATGCTCCTGTTATCAGATAGGCTTTAAGATCAGGACTACTGCAAGAACTGCACAGACTTGTATTGCTCTCAAGGGCTTGGGTATACAGAAAGCTGAAAAGAAGGCATCAGGTCCAATCCAGGAGACCAATCCTTAGATGACCTAACCAGAGCACATTATATGCAGCTCATGCTCCTGGGAAAATTACCACAAACTCTGAGAAAGCCAGACACCAAGATAACAAGGATTCAATTTTCCACCTCTATGCAGAGTCCTCTGAGGCAAACATCCCACGATGACAAATGAAAACAGTGAACAAGATCTGAGGGACACAGCACAGAAAAACCCACTGATTTTCCTCACCAGGTAGACTGACATTGCATGTGCAAAGGAACTGTAACACAATTAGAGAGCTCCTACTGCTCCAGAGAGGCCTCTGCTGAGCAGGAAAATCTACCAAGTTTGAAAGTCAAGTCCAACAAGTCCATTGGTTCCAGCACCATGTATTGTAGCTCAGAATTTATCAGTAACAAGGCCAAGTCTCTGATCTTTACCTGGCAGGGTGCTGCATCTTCTGGGTTCTACTTCTCGTCAAATAAGCAAAGGACATTCGCCATTACCACCTCAATTCCAAATATTAAGAACTACAGTAACTAAGAACACACACACACACACACTCACACACACACATTTTGTTGACCTGAAACACCTACAGCACAGGTCCTAGTGGCCTGCTCAATAACAAGACTGCAAGGTCAAGTGAAAGGCTTCATGGGTCAAGGTCAAGGTCAAAGCCAAGGACCTTTCTACACCATGACTTTGATTAAGGAAAGAAACCTCTCCCTCTCTCTCCCCCCCCATTTTCTCTTCCTCTCCTTCTTCTCCCCTCTCCCCCTTTCCCTCTTTCTCTCCTCCCTCTCTCTCTGTAATCTCTTTCCCCCCACTCCATTCCCCATTGCCCCCCCACTCCATTCCCCATTGCCTGACACACAGTAGAAGCTGAAAAAATGTTCAGTAACTAGTAAACATTCTTAACCTTTCCCTGAAGCCGAAATAAAATTGTACCCCAGAATTTTCCATGATTCTCAGTTTGTGGTATAAAATCTGGCCTCAGGTCCCTTTATGACCTGCCCTTTGACTCTCTCATACCCTATCCTTCAGTAACATTGAAGTAATCTCTCTTTTTTATGGACAATCTGAAATGTCTTACTCATGAACCTCAGCCAAAAATCATGTTGTTCCCAGTGGTACATGTCTCAATCCAATGTATCTTTCCAAACTCTGCCTCAATTCCTTAATGTATTAAGCTTCCCCATCTTAGAAGCCACTCTGCTCCCATATGCCTCTGAAGTCTTGCCTACTTTAATTAATATTGTAGATAATAAGAGGCAGGTCTCACTGTTGGAGAAAGAAATGACATATAAGGAAAAGGAGAACGCTAAGGATTCTGGTGTTGGACTGGAACTGGAGATGGAAGTATAAACCCAGAGCTTTTTGATCTATCTATCATGCATGAGGGCATGAGTTAGTATGCACACATATATTTGCTCAGTGGCTAGAAAAGGCTTGATACCATCAATGAATCCACTTCTAGGGCCAGAAGAAAGGACTCCACCAAATTGCCTAGTAAACAAGGATAGGTTGAATCCCACCCAAATCTCATCTGGTATGTGTATAAGATAACACAGTTAGCTCCCCAAAGAAAAATCATTATTCCCCACAATGAGAATGGCTTCGGAGCTGCAAAATTAACAAATACCTGTACCCCAACTCTTTAGCCAGAATCAATTCTGTCCTATTGTTGCCAGCCATTTGCCTATGCATCTACACCAGCAGTGACTTCCTTCTGCTTTACTACCAGCAGATCACATCGATCTTCGTTTATAAGCATCCTGGTCACTAGGAATTTGCTTCTCCAGAGCCCTCTCTCCCAAGACCCTCAGCTACCAAACTAAGTGCCTCAGTACCCCAAACCCACTTCTTCACAGCTGAATCACAGCTGAGTCACTGAGCCAGCTTGCCAGTGCCAACCTTGAAAGTGCTTCTTGAAGTCACTACCTGATGTACTAGTCTCCTGGCTGACATTCTCTGGAACCTACAGATGCTGGCTTGACAGGTGAGATAGGGATGGCTTTTTATTTTCCTTCAGTCATTCCTTTATCAGTCACGATGACAAGGAGGGATAAGCGCTCAAATGGAAGAAAACACTCCTGCAGTATTTACTCATGCTTTTCCTCACCAGCCAGATCCCTCTCCCCAAGCACAAATTCCTGGGAACCAGTCTACACATCCTGTTATCTGGTGTGTCCAGCCATCAAGAGCTGCCCTCCCATCAAATGCCAGCCTGTACTTTCCTCGCACATCCCCCAAAGCTGTCAGCTTCTCTGGGAGCCAAGGCACTACTGTCTTTCAGATGACTTACAAGCCAGCAGGCAACGGTCTTTACAATACTCATTGCCCACCTGCTTTGCAGGTTCCCCAAGGCAGAGAGAGGCCTTTCCCCAGTGTGGCTTAGACTTCTCCATGTCAATCACTCTGATGGGTGCCAAGACTCACCACATTGATTAGATGGAGAAAGAAGCATTACATCTCAAAAATAAGGGCTTTGAGATTCTCCAATTTAAAAAAAAAAGACATGTAACTATTATCTGTGGCAGTAATAAAGACATAGTGATTAAATTCAAATAGGAAGATAGCTCTGGAAAGAAACACAAAAAATGATGACTGCCTCCAGACAGGAAAATTAGGCACCTAAAGAACAAGGGTAAAAGGGTCATTTTGCCTGTTTCAAATATTATGTATCTGGGATTGTGTATCATTTGAATGTATTTCCCATTAAATAACAATTTAAGGATGCAATCAGGGGCTGGGAAGTTGGCTCAGTGGTAGAGCGCTTGCCTTGCATGCCTGAGGCCCTGGGTTCGATTCCTCAGCACCACATAAGCAAAAAAGAAAAAAAGCCGGAAGTGGCGCTGTAGCTCAAGTGGTAGAGCACTCGCCTTGAGCTGAAGAGCTGAGGGACAACACCCAGGCCCAGAGTTCAGGCCCCACGACCGGACCCAAAAAAAAAAAAAAAAAAAAAGGATGCAATCAGCCAAATGCCAAATGTGGAAACTTTCACACAGGTGAACGGTCTGGTTTTTTCAATAAGAAAACAGCTAAAAATAAAAACAAAAAAATAAGAAATAAGAAGAAATAAGAAAACAGCTAAAAAATAAAAACAAAAAAATAATAGCCAGGCACCAGCAGCTTACAGACTAGACTCAGAGACTCAGATCTGAAGAATGCAGTTTAAAGCTAGCCTGGACAGGAAAGTCTATGAGATAAGAATTTCCAATAAACTACTAAAAGAGTCAGAAGTAGAACTGTGGCTCAAGTGGTAGAGCACTAACCTTGAGCAAAAGAAGTTTAGGGACAGTGCCCATGCCCTGACTTAAGCCTCAGGACCAGCACCAAAAAGTAAAAATAAAAAAGTAAAGAAGGGTAGAAGAAATGTTATAGATCTTAAATACAATATATTTTATAGATTTATTAAAGATTCAGGTAATGTCAACCAAGTATAATACATGTTCCTTGCTGTGGATCCACATTGGAACAAACTACAAAAAAAGACATTTGTATTTAGAGAATGTTAAATGAGCAAGTAGCTGTTCTGAAGGAATTGTTCATCATTAGGTATGATCATCACAGCTTTGTGTTTCTGTTTTTTCAATGGTTCTTATTTATTGGAGCTAAGTGTTTACAGGTAAGAGACTATGCCTAAGATTCATGGTGAAACATTAAAGGATGGAGATGACAAATAAGATATTGTTATTTTCTCAGGCTGCATGGCACTTCCATGGGGATTCATCATGCTATTCCCTCTCCTCTTGTAGGAGAATGAAATTTCCGTAATGAAAAGTTTAAAGTTTTTTAACTAATTACTCCACAAACATCAGGATGCTGGAGAAAAGCAGCACAGAGTAGAGGTATCCAAGTTGCGTCCAGAAGGATAAAGAAGAAGGTTCTCAGGGCATTTCAGGTTGAAGAGGCTGCATAAGCAAAGTCAGCCCACCTATTACCACCTATTACCAGGCCTCTCCAAAGGCATGTCAAAAAAATGCCCTTTGCTTGATCCCCCAACTCTCCAGGACAGCTAGCTTAACATCTACATAACTACCCTGTTCCAGGTAAGAGAAGGGAGGGTACATTGGGGTCCACAGCCCCACTTCTACTACAAGAGGTCCTCCAGGGACCTTAGAGGATAGGAAAGCAATTAACTTCTCCTACTTGAGGTTGGCCCAACAAAGCAGTTTAGAAGCCTGCTGAGTTATCTCAGGAACAGAGCCTTCATCCCTCTTGAATTGTCCCCACACTTCCCCTCACCAGAAACATACATGGTCTCCCTGAATAGCATTTCCCAATAATAGCTTCAGTGCAGGGAACCCAGTTGATGCAGATCTGGTAGCCCCAATCATGGGCACTAAAACATCTCCATGAAGAAGGAAGTGGTCCTCTACTCCTTTCCAAACCCTCTGGCCCCTACATCAGTATCCAGTGTGTCCTCTGCCCACAGGAAGCTGGCTGAGCCACTCAAGAGTTGGCCCTGGCCCAGACAGATCTCAATGGTCCCTTACCTCAGATCGAAGCTGCAAGTACTCCTCTGAGCCATATGGGACACTCCGCAGAGAGGTGAGATAGTCATAACTGATGACAGCTGTCTGTGAACCAAAGGAAGGAAAGTTTAACACTTACACATCATCTATTGCTCCTCTGCCCAAGTCCTATAGCTTCAGCCCCTGACCTGAGCTGCTAAGTCTTCAGAAGGAGCCAGTCCTATCTCTTCGATGCTCAGCCCCCAGATCTTAACCTGGCTGACTCATCCAGAGCACTGCACAAATGCCACCTCTGCAGAGGGTCCAATCTCCAGTTTCCCCAATGCACCAGGAACTCTCAGTTAGTCATCCCAACTAACCACCACTCAAACTTGTCTTGCCCATTTGTTTCCTTATCTATGGACTGTCTGAATGTAAGATCTGTAAGCACAAGGGCTAGTCCTTCCTGTTCATCTCTGTGACCCCAGGACCCCAAGCAGACAGGAAGATGCTCATAAAGAATGAGTTGAATGAATATTGTTAGATAAACTTCTCCTACTTTTTCTGTATCACAAGTAAATATTATTTTTATGCTCATCCTAAGAGCCTAAGTTTTGATTCTGGATCCTCTGATCAATATCCTGGAGAGGATCTCTTGTCCTTGGAAAATCAGCAGATTACAGGCTCCGTGATATTTCAAGCATGGAGGAGTCTTGAGGATTATCTAACCCAAACCTTCCTGAGGACTCTCAAAATAAAGGAGTTTAGGAGATTTATATTAAAGAGTCTATCTTTGTCTGCACTGCCCAAAGCATAATTCCATCCAATATATACTTATTGAACACAAGTCACCAGCAGAATCTGCTCACTGAGCAGAGTACAGGATGATCAGGCTCTAGCCCTTTAAAGAATGCATCTTGCTGGGCGTCAGTGGCTCACATCTGTAATCCCAGCTACTCAGGAGGCTGAGATCTGAGGATCATGGTTCAAATCCAATCCAAGCCAAGGCCATGAAACTCTTATCTCCAATAAACCACCAGAAAACTGGAAGTAGGGCTGTTGCTTAAGTGGTAGAGCGCTGGCCTGGAGCTGAAGAGCTAAGGGACAGTGCTTAGGCCCTATAACCGACAAAAAAAAGAATGTGCATCTTAAATCAAGGTGTGATGAGGTACACCTATAATCCCAGCTACTCAGAGGTAGGAGGATTATGGTCTGAATCAGCCTGGACAAAAAACACAAGACCTTATCTGAAAAATAAACTAAAGCAAAAAAGACTACAGGCATAGCTCAAGTAGCAGAGCATTTGCCTAGTACCCAGGAGGCCCTGAGTTCAAATCCCACTGCTGACATTTTCCTCCCTTCTTTAAAGCCCTAAGGTCTCACTCACATTTCTGAGGTTTCATTCAAAGCCTGCTTCCCTCAGAACGTCCATGCTGACCACTCATCTATATGTCTGCCCACAGTTAGCAGGCTTGACAGGTGCATGGTTTTAGAATGGTTTTGTTTTGTTTTGTTTTTTTGTCAGTTGTGGGGCCTGAACTCTGGGCCTGGGTACCGTCCCTCAGCTCTTCAGCTCAAGGCTAGCACTCTACCACTTGAGCCACAGTGCCACTTCTGGCTTTTTCTGTTCATGTGGTGCTGAGGAATCGAACCCAGGGCCTCATGAATGCGAGGCAAGCACTCTACCACTGAGCCACCTTCCCAGTCTTAGAATGCTTTTTAACCATTCATGTATGCTCTTTGTGACCAAAGATCTCTTGAAAGCTGGGTCAGGTGAGATAGTTTCTTTCTATCTTCAAAGCACATAAAGACAACACTGGGACCAAAACAAGCACTTGGTAAACACTTTTGGATGGTTTTAGTTTCCACAGTCTATTTATCCAAAGCCTATTTGTCAGACTTGATTCTCTGACTCAGCTCACCCTGAGGATAGGCACTCTGTCAGGGGCCCTTCTCTAAGCAAGACTCACAAGAACACTTGATAACGTTTAAGTACTGGAGAAATAATGAGACAACAACTAAAACCAGATATATCTGTCTTGATGCATCTCCACATCAAGAGGAAGGGAGATGAGCTCACCAGTAGCAGAGATATGGGGCACAGAAAACAAGAGGCACATGACAATCTAACCACCAATGGGGCAACTGTATGGCAATGTTTGGAAGAGCCTCTGTGAGATGACATGATGACACCAGAACAATGTGGCTACTGACCCACTGAAGCAAACCTCAAATGGTCAGATACCCAATCCTTACCAGTTTAAGGATCAAAGGGAATTCTAAAAGTTCAAGGCCTCAACATTCCAACTCTAAGGCCCACATCAGAACATTCATACTAGCTCACTGGAGCAAGATCTAGTTTCAAGGTAGAATCTCTTTTCTACCAAGTCATCTTTCCTCAGCATTTGCTAAGACATACCGCCTACCTAAGTCATAAATAAAATTAGGACACACAGAGCCAACAGTGTAAAGGCTTCAGAGCAGAGGCCTCCATGACACCATTCTCTTTAACTGTAGGACAGAAGAGCTTGAGTGTACAGGAGGGAAGGGACATGAGCATGCACATCTCTGTCAGATGCAGCTGTGTAGAAAGAGCTTGGGCATGTATCTCTAAATAGGTGGGAGCAGCATAGCCACCTGCAAATAGTACCGTAGTTCCCCCTGGTACCTCTAAAAGGGGAAAAACCTACCGTAGCAACTGCTCTGCCCACTCTGACAGCACCAAAGTCATTAGGGTCCAAGTACTTGTTGCTGTAGAAGTAAACGCCAGAGGCACCAAGAGCTGCACTGGTCCATGAAGCAAGTTTGACAGCCTTTCTGGCCATGTCCCCAGACCCTACAGTGGAAAGGGAAATTGAGAAAGATTAGTAGTTGATCCAGAATTCAAATCTTGCCTGTCATTTTCTCAATCACATCAGCCCTTGGTTTCCTCATTTATAAAAGATGATAATACCTCCTGAAAAACAACTGGGACAAAATGAGATAATTATATAAAATGAACATAACATCCAGCACCAGTCAGCTCTCCAAGTCCTCCTTCTTTCAACAGTGTAAGGTACTATTCTAGACACAGGGAGAGAGTGAAGAAAACAAAGTCCTCACCCACAGGGACCTTACATTCTAGAGATAACAATGAGAAACAAAAAGATATATGAGCAGAGCACTGGTGGCTCAAGCCTGTAATCCCTGCTATTCAGGAGACTGAGATCTAAGAATCACCATTCAAAGCTAGCCCTAGCAGGAAAGTCCATGAGATAAATAAATAAATACAAAGAGTATCTCCAATTAACCACCAGAAAACTGGAAGTGGATCTGTGGCTCAAAACAGTAGAGCACTAGCTCTGAGCAAAAGAGTTCAGGGAGGGCGCCCAGGCCCTGAGTTCAAGCCCCACAACCAACAAAAAATAAATAAAAATACATTATATACTACCATATCAGAGATGCTATTAAAAGCCAATAAGATACAGTTGGAGGGGCTGGAAAGGTGGCTCAGTGGTAGAGTGTTTGCCTCGCATGCATGAGGCCCTGGGTTCCATTCCTCAGCACCACCTAAGCAGAAAAAGCCAGAAGTGGCAGTGTGGCTCAAGTGGTAGAGCGTTAGCCTTGAGCTGAAGAGCTGAGAGACAGTGCCCAGGCCCAGAGTTCAAGCCCCATGACCTGTTGCAGCCAAAAGACAGCCTCTTCAACAAATGGTGCAGAACAAACTGGCTATCTACATGCAAGAGCTGGGAACTTGACCCCTAGCTCTCACCCTGTACAAAAATCAACTCCAGGTGAACCAAAGATCTACGTGTAACATCCACTACTGGAAAACTGGAAGACACATGCACAGGTAATTGTTGGCTGAGTAGGACTTCAACTGCCCAGAAAATAAGAGCAAGAATAGACAAATGGGCCTACATAAAATTAAAATGTTTCTGGGCTGGGAAGGTGGCTCAGTGGTAGAGTGTTTGCCTTGCATGCATGAGGCCCTGGGTTTGATTCCTCAGCACCGCATAAGCAGAAAAAGCCAGAAATGGTGCTGTGGCTCAAGTGGTAGGGTGCTAGCCTTGAGCTGAACAGCTGAGGGACAGCACCCAGGCCCAGAGTTCAGGCCCCACGACAGGCAAAAAATAAAATAAAAATAAAATGTTTCTGCACAGAAAAAATAAAACGCCATAACACCTGTAATCCTAGCAACTCTGGAAGCTGAGATCTGAGGATTGTGGTTTGGAACCAGCACAGGCAAGAAAGTCCATGAGACTCTTCTCCAATTAACCACCAAAAATAGCCAGAAGTGGAGTTATGGCTCAAATGTTAGAGCACTAAGCCTTGAGCACAAAAGCTCAGGTACAGTGCCCAGGCCCTGAGCTCAAACTCCAGGACTAGCACAAAATAAGAGAAAATAGCTACTTTGACTTAGATCTCATAGCCACAGGGTGGTTTTCATCTTCTAAGTGTTCACAAAGTATATCTCTTCCCATTCTTACTGTCAATTTACATTATATATTGTTTTCTCTAAATATGTTTATGTTTAGTTTAACCTATGAATTTATATTTAAATTTACCATTTTTCCACACTTCCTATCTGTTCAGTGTTCGGTTCTCTTCAGTTCAGTTCTCTCTCTCTCTCTCTCTCTCTCTCTCTCTCTCTCTCTCTCTCTCTCTGTCTTTCTCCATTGCAGTACTAGAAATTGAACTCAGAGCCTCATCCTTGAACCACACCCCCACCCTTTTTTCTCCCATTTCGTGACTGTTCCTGGACTCAGTACTTTTCCAAATCTGTGTATTCTTCCCTTTGTATTCTTCTTTTCCGACCCAGTGTTTATAATGCATGCTCAGAGCAATGCCTGAAAGCACATCAGCCTTGATGCCATTTCAAAAATCACCATGCCTGGAGTCCACTCTGTGACCCACCAAGTCTAGGAGGGAGAGGGGTAGAGGGAAACGGGAATCTGTGTTCTAGTAAGATAATAGGCGACTTTCACACAAGCTCACATTTGTGAACCATTCCTCTAAATATTTTCTTTTTAATAAAGAGATGCTTCATGTGCTCACATTTATCTTTGAAACCATTCCCCAAAAGCAGCCTTCCCCCTCTTTGGCCCAGGTGCCCATATTCACTACCCAAGAATGATTACAATCATTTCCAGCATAACTACATAATGGAATATGATTCAGCCATTAAAAAAAAAGAAGTCCTACCATTTCAGCGATATAGATGGATCTGGAGGGCATTATGCTAAGTCACAAAGAGAGAAATACTGAACTATCATTTGTATGTGGAATATAAAAGAGTCAAATTCATAGAAGCTGGAGGTGGAATATTGCTTACTAGGGGTGAAATTAAATGGAGAGGCATTAGTCAAAGGGTAGAAAGTTCTGGCTGAGGGAGAAGTTCTTGGGTTCTAATGGATAAGGTTGGCAACTATGCTTGATAATGCTATATCATTTAGTTGAAATTAGCTAAGAATTCAATTGTAAGTATGCTCACCACATACAAAAAGAGGGTAAGTATATGAGATGCTGGCATGATGATGAATTCGGCTGCAGCAATCTTTGCTCCTGGTGCATATACACAATCATCCCCTTGCATACCCACAATGGAAGCTCAATAAAGACAGAAAGAAAATAAGTTACAACCTTGCTTTGGACATTTCTTTCTTTTCTTTACATTTCTCTTCACTTTAGAAAGACCTCTCTCTTCCCCTTTCATTCAGCCAACATTTTAACAATCCTTTCAAACAAGTGAGTAAGAGGTAAGACCTTGCACGCTGGCACCCTTGAGCCGACATGGCTTCTTCCAAACCTGGGGGCCCTTGGGCAACCTGCTAAATCTCTCTAAATCTCTCTAAGCCTTGTGATCTTTCCCATCAAATGAGACACTAACAGCAGTATCTACCTGATGGGGTGATGATTAATGAGATAAGCCATGTAAAATGCTCAGCAGGGTGCCATCAACACAGGAACTGAAGGGTCACAGGTGCTATTCTCTTGTCACTCTTTTCTAAAATTATTCTCATTATCTTTTCCTCCAATGGTAGGCTTTGGCATAGGACCACCCACCACCACCACCACCACCACCCCACCCCCACTCCACCCCCACCCCTGCCTCCACCTCCCTATTCATTCCCAGAGGATCTCAGCACACACCAGGCCTAATGTGCCTACCACATCTAACCCTACCTTTCACCTCGGTTTATAGCCTCATCTGTTGAAAAAGGTAAATGGCTCAGCTCACCCTCTATTTTGTTTCTGCCAGGATACAGGACCCTAGTTATTCACACCCTCTTCTTGATGAAGATCCCTTCCTAGGCTCTTCCAATCTCTTCTAGGGATCTTCCAATGGGACATCCAGAGAAGCCCATATGGAGAAGGCAGCATGGAGTGAATGGTGGCTAAGAATCCAATTTTATTTCTAACAAGCTGGTTTTTATCTCTAACAATCTGGCCCTCTATCTGCCTCCTCCACTAGATGCAAAGGGAAGAATAGGTGTCAATAATTGCAAAAAAAAAGTAGAGCAAATTCTATAGTTTTATGTAACCTCATCATCCACTTGGAACATCTTTACTTTTCTCATGTCAGAAGCAGGTCTCAGTCACCCTGGAGTGTCCAATTCTCACTTCCTCCCAGTTCTTCCTATTCTGGCTGACCCAGATATCTGTCCCACACAAGTGTCTGGTGGTGACCGCCTCTATGGAATAGCTAAAAGATATATATCCTCCTTCTAGCAATCAGGCCGGGCCAGATTTGGCCCCCAGGCTATAACTTGCCAAATCCTAGTCGATCACACAGTTAGTGCTTCCAAAACTGAATGCATTAGTGATGGATCAACTATGCCTATGAGGCCTATGAAAACACACCTGGAACTGCCAGAACCAGTGTATATGTGAAAATGGAACCATGTAACTTGAGGGTATGGGTAGGATTGGGAAAGATGAGGGAGAATAATGGAAGCAGTGACATTGATCAAGGTGATGCATTGTGCTGAATATCTGACTTGTACAATTAAAGATAATAATAAAACTAAATTAAATCTTTTCGGCACCACCAGCACTTCCGTAGGCTTTCCTCTAGTCAGTAGACCCCATCCTCCAGTTGTACCCACCCCTGATGCATGGAGATCACCCCTCTCCTTGAGGCCAGCTCTGGGTAAGGAAGTTGAAGGACAGCAATCATTCCCAGGACCCAGTTTCCAAACAAATGTCCTCAGTAATAAAAGAGGTAGAAATTGAAATACATAAAAAGGATAATATAGGAGCCAAACAGTATGTACAGAGACTGAAGCTAGTGTTTTCCAGACGGCTTTAGTGAGTCTTTAACATGCAAATGAGCTGCTTCCCTCAGGGTATTTTTAAAGGCCTGTCAGGCGTGAAATGTGTCTGTCAATGAAAAACATTTTACATTATTAATTTTTTTGCTAATGAATCTCTGCCCCATTCTGTTTACTTGCTTTTTTTTTTTTTTTGTCATGGGGCTTGAACTCTAGGCCTGGGTGCTGTCCCTTAGCTCTTCAGCTCAAAGCTAACGCTCTACCACTTGAGCCACAGCGCCACTTCTGGCCTTTTCTGTTTATGTGATGCTGAGGAATCGAACACAAGGCCTCATGCATGGGAGGCAAACACTCTACCTCTGAGCCACCTTTCCAACCCCTACTTTTTTTTTTTTTTTACTTTCCCTTGAGTTATCTTTTATATAAGTGCATACCTTTGAAGGGGGCTTGAGGCCAGCAAAAGCCTAAAACCTAATCACTAGAAAATATTTTTAGTAATAACTAACTTTTACAAAACCTTTAAACTCATCTGGTTAGGTATCCCATGCAACCATTAAGCAGAGACTAATGTCATCACTCCTAGGTATATATAGATGGGGAAAATACAGAGCCATGGGTAAATGGTTAGCCCAGGTGTTTAGCTAGTACAATGGCAGAGTAACCAAGTGACTAGGGCCTTCCCACTCCAAGTGTTCAGCCCTTGTCCACATTATGGCACAAGGTCTCTTTAACAGGATTCCCTAGGTCACCAAGAGTCAAGATCAAGCAATATTTTCCCACTAAAACCATCCATTCCAGCCTACCAAGTTGACAATGCTGTCAGAACCAGGGAAAACATCCCTGTGGGTCATAAAACAAAGCAACAGGATGTCCATCAAGTAGGAAGTTGATATCCATCCTCTGGAGGGAATCAAAGGGGAAACCAAGTACTTAACTGCTATCAGTTACAGATATGTACTTTGGAAGAAACGAGGCCTAGGAGTTCGAGGCCTAGGAGTTCGTAAGTGACAGAGCCAGAACTTTTATCTAGATGTTATCTGTTCCAACCAAAAGGACAAAAGGAATAAGCAGCTCGAGGGCTGCGGCAAGGGGAGGGGAGACAGACAAATGGAGAGAAGAAAGGTAGGCAAATACAGTCATTATTCAGTGTACATATGTGGAAATGGAACCATGTAACTTGAGAGTGTAGATGGGAATGGGAAAGATGGCAGAGAATAATAAGAGTGACAGTGATCAAGATGATGCATTGTACTGGTAATCTGACTTGTTGAACTGATACCCCTTTGCACAACTACTTAAAAATAATAATAAAGTAAAATAAGCTCTTAGCTGGGACTGATGGCTCACATCTATAATCCTAGCTACTCAGGAAGCTGAGACCTCGGTATGGGGTTTAAAGCCAGCCCCGGCAGAAAAGTCTGTGCAATTCTTATCTCCAATTATCCAGAAAGAAAAGCTGAAAGTAGAGGTGTGGCTCAGATCCACAGTCTAAAGCAGAAAAAGTCAAGAGGGAGCAGTCTCAACACAAATAAATAAAAAAGATAAACCAAGTCAAATTAAATACTAAAGAAAAAATAAGCAAATTGTGGCCCAACAAATTTCTGACCAGGAAAGCTGAATCCCAGATAAGTCAGTACCCCACCCTTAGAGGGGAAGGGGTTTGAATGGTTTAACCCAGCACTATTCTTGCCCAACAGGTTCCCTTGTCTGACCAAAAAACAAATGCAAACTCTTTCAGGATGTGAGGTCAAATTTTACATCTATAAGAACCATTAACTAACAGCCAAAGTAAATAATGACACAAAACAGATTATGATGTACTGACATACATGTAGGTGAATGTGAAAACCTGAGTGTAAAGAAATTTGGGGAGAGGACTGGGAAGGTGGCTCAGTGGTAGAGCACTTGCCTTGCATGATGAGGCCCTGGGTTCGATTCCTCAGCACCACATAAGCAGAAAAAGTCAGAAGTGGTACTTTGGCTCAAGTGGTAGAGCGCTAGCCTTGAGCTGAAGAGCTGAGGGACAGCACCCAGGCCCAGAGTTCAGGCCCCACAACCGACAAAAAAAAAAAAAAAAATGGGGAGAATTAATAGTGTGCAAAGTAATATCTACATGTATGCTACAGGAGCCAAAGTAAGACCGGCAAACAAGCAAAGGCAGCCCGGTGGGAAGAGTTCACATGATTTTCCCCCCTGTAGAATAGTAGTTCTCGAATAACAGTCTCCAGACCAGCTGCATCTCCAGGTTAGACCTACAAAAATTCTTGGTACCCATACCAGCCCTGGGATAACCATACACAACTAGACATGTAGAGGAAAGGGGCCTGGATTCTGTGGAGTAACCCTCCAGGTGACTGCTGCATGCTAAACTTTCAGAACTACGCCAACCAGAAAATGCCAAAAAGGAAATGTGTGACTGACTATGCAAAGTCTTAAGTCATTTCAACTCCTCATGAATTTCCTGGGCATCCGTGGAGCGACAAGTACGTTCTGGGGCAATCAATAAATACTTGTTGAATGCCTTTAGTTATCAGGAAGTAAATGTCCTTTCACTCTGGGCGAGGGCTGCAACCAGCTCTTTTGCAGACAGATCACACACTGCCAGGCGCTGGAGGTAAGTAGTGCCTGGGGGTCACCCCAAGTTCAAATGGAGGAGAAGGGTCAGATTATCAGGATCTGCTTCCCTCCTCTCTCTCTCTCTCTCTCTCTCTCTCTCTCTCTCTCTCTCTCTCTCTCTCTCTCTCTCTCTCTCTCTCTCGGGGTTTGTCCCAAGCCCAAGTCAGATTATCAGGAACACACACACACACACACACACACACACACACACACACACACCAGCAGGAACACAACACACAACCTGCTCAGAAACACACCAAGTCCCCAGCCCCAATAGGCTACTTGCATGCAATGGCTTGTCACCGAGCCACCAGCGCCCTCCTCCAGCTCCAGCTCCGCCTACCCGGGCACACGCAAAGAGGGCAGTCGGTCCACACCTAACGCCAGCCCGAGGCGGGGTCACTCAAGTCACCTGAGCCCTGTGGCCACGCGCTGGGCCCAGGTGGCAAGGTCACCGGCCGGGATTCCCTCCCACCCACGCCCACGCAGGCTGCACGGTGGCCCCCTGAGCTCCACGTGCCGCGCGGCCCCCGTGCAGACCTCCCGCCGACCGCACCTACTCACCCCGAGTGCGGCCCCGCTGGCCCCCGCGGTTCCCGTGTTCCCAGGAAACGGTGTCCAGGCCTCCAAGGCTGCTCGGCGAAGCCGGTGCCGCGCGGCCTTCTGGGATTTGTAGTTCCCAGGCTTAGGGCTCACGGGGCCCTAAGCCCTAAGGCCCCTCCCTTGACCTCTAACCCTGGAGCCCCAGGGGCCTCCCAGCTCTTCCTCACCAAATAGGTCATAGATTCCTGTTTAGTGGAGGACGCAGCTGTGGATTTGTAGGTTTCATTCGTATGTATTATTTGTAGAACAAAAAACCAAAAAATAAATTCACTTGATCAGTGCGTTAGATGATAGAGTTTTATAGGTTCATCTGAGTCATATGAGTCTATCAGATGCCTTTTGGAGGCATTTTCCTTCATGGGGGAAGACAGATTCAATGCAATTCTATTCGAGTTTCCAACTGGATGTTTTTTGTTTCGATATGGGGGTTTGAACTCAGAGTCCCACACTTGAAGCCATAGCTTCTGTCTAGGAATCTTTGCTATAACCTCAAATGCCCCTTAGGCCTAGGGGTAAAGAGAGCTTCCTGTTATTGCTAGTCTTTAGCTGCTTCCTACCCACTTCCCCAACCCCAGGCTGGTTTCTTTGATTATTCTAGGTAGACCATGCATTAAATATTCTACATGTAACTTTTGATCATGCCATCTGTTTTCAGTAGGACTCTAATGGCTACAGCTCCCATGCTGTTGTGGTAATTTTCCTCTTTTGGGGGGGATCCGGTTGTGGGGCCTGAACTCTGGGACTGGGAGCTGTCCCTCAGCTCTTCAGCTCAAGGCTAGCACTCTACCACTTGAGCCACAGCACCACTTCTGGCTTTTTTTTTTCTGCTTATGTGGTGCTGAGGAATCGAACTCAGGGCCTCATGCATGCAAGGCAAGCGCTCTACCACTGAGCCATCTTCCAAGCCCAGTAACTTTCCTCTTTTATCATTGCTACCTTGACATGGAAAATCCATCATGTGCCATGAACCAACACAAGATCCAAGACCTCATTTCAAAGTCCTACAAACCCTCCCACTGAAAACCTAGAAATGAGCACTTTTCAAGTGGTGGGAATGTCAACACCAGTGCCTGCTTAACCAAGAACTCTATAAATGCTCTCAGGCCCTTCTGAAGAAGTAAACATGGAGGCAGATAGAGGTAGGTTTGAATCCTGGCTCACCTATAAGATCCTCTCATGCCTCAGAGCCTTCATCTGTCATATTGGGTAATGACATCTGCCTCTCAGGCTTGCTTAAGGGTTGAATAAGACAACCTGTGCCAGGGCTGAATCCAGCACCAGGCACACACTAAAGACGTATGCAGCACTTGTCCTTCTTCTTTATTAAGCAACCAAGAAGACCTAACAACTAGATGAGGCCAAATGGCTTCTCCAGAAATACCACACCACCTCCTTCTGTTTGCTAGTGGAGTGGCCAGGCCTTAATATGGCAATGAACCAAAGCAGAAAAAAAGAAAAGAAAAGAAAAAAGAGAGGGGGGGAAAAAAAGGAACAACTCATCAGAAACCAGGCTTTTGTCAAAAAGAAGAAAAAAAAACACACAATGCTCAAACCCAACTGCAGTGAGCAATTAGGGAACAATAGCTAACTACTTTCTATAATTAGAGGAGCAAAACCATCACGAATGATCAGAGCTGCTTTGTCTGCACTGACCCTCTGTCCCCAAAGAAGATCTTGGCTCACATGAGATGCAAACTGGGGTCCCTGGTATCATTTTTAGTTTCCTTGACAAATTATATTTCATGCCACCCTTCAGCTCCAGAAAAGAAAAGTAGGAGAGACTATGAAGGCCCTTCATTAGAAAAGAAAAGCAAATGGAAAAATAAGAATGAATTCAATCATAAAATAGGAAAGGATCCTACAGCCTGTTCGGAGGACTGTAGCCACACTGGTAGGTGGGTGGATCAGCCCCTTTGTCAGAGGAGAAAGCAAGTGGTCTTTGGTGTCCATGTACTGTGCCCCTTTGCTAACATCTGAAGAGGAAATCCTTACCCTTAACTCTGGATATTCCAGGCAAAAGCAAAGGATACTATCATTCCATGAATATGAATACTAGCGAATTGTTCTCTTGGTCTGGACAGCAGGAACAAATGGGCTACCTCACCCCCAAATCTCTATTCCTACCCAAGCACTGCTGTTCCCAGACCCCTGATTCCCAAATGAACCATCCTTCTCCCTTTCCTTAATTCTTTATCATCTTAACCTGGCGCTAACTCGCCCATATCCATCGATCTTTCCCCTCTTCTCCATTTCTATCATCAAGATCATTGTGCAGTTTCCTTATATAACTTTTGATCATGCTATTTCCTGTAGAACTCTAATGGCTATAGCCCCCATGGTGTGGCCCAAGCCCAGACTTTTCCCCAGGCCTCCATTCACTGCTTTATCTCCCAGGTTCCTCTCCCAAGTAGTCATTCCACAAGACACTACATTGGTTTCCTAAATTATTGTCTAGGCCAACCTCTACAGCAGGATTTTCTGATGGTCAAGGCCTCCTGATGGTCCAGTAAATGATGTTAGGTGGTATAGTCCTCACAGTTAGTATTTGGCTCAGGTACCCTCACTAGGCCTGTGCAACTCATCATGGAGTTGCTGTAAGTGTTGGCTCCTAGAGCTCACAGCTACCACATTTTCTGGAAACTTTATGGACTGAATGCAATTGTCTCCCCAGGAAACTGCCTTTGCTCTTTGACCTATTTCCATAGTCAATGGCTGACAGAAAAGTCCATCCTTTAGGCCTAGAGAAGGGATATTCTTGAAGTACCATTCATGCTCCCAAGATCCATATGGGAGAAGGCTTTATTGTTTCATCCTTGAGAATTCTTGTGATTCTGCCTTTACAGTAGGTGGTAAGTGGCTAAACGCTTGTAATAATGGGTATTTAAATAGGCATTAGAAAAAAGTACACCTAGCACATATCATCAGGATACTGTTATGATGAGTGTCTATTAACTTAAAAAAGGAAGAAGAAGCCAGATGCTGGTGGGTCATGCCTGTAATCCTAGCTACTCAGGAGGCTGAAATCTGAGGATTGTGGTTCAAGCCAGCCTGGGCAGGGAAATCTGTAAAACTCTTATCTCCAATCAGAAAACCGGAAGTGTAGCTGTAGCTCAAAGTGGTAGGCTGTTAGCTTTGAGCAGAAAAGTTCCAGGACAGCATCTAGCCCCAAAATTCAAGCCCCACCAACAACAACAAAAAAAAAAAAAAAAAGGAGGAGGAGGAGGAGGAAGAAGAAGGGGAGAAGAAGAAGAGGAGTTGGAGGAGGAGGGGGAGGGGGAGGGGGAGGGGGAGGGGGAGGGGGAGGGGGAGGGGGAGGGGGAGGGGGAGGGGGAGGGGGAGGGGAGGGGGAGGGGGGAGGGGGAGGAGGAGGAGGAGGAGGAGGAGGAGGAGGAGGAGGAGGAGGAGGAGGAGGAGGAGGAGGAGGAGGAGGAGGAGGAGGAGGAGGAACCAGAGCCACTATACACAGACGTGTATCATTTTTATTTTTAATCTAGATTTCACAAAGGAGAAAAACATACTTGTCTTTCTGAGTCTTATTTTGCTTACTATGATGATAGATAACTAGTACTGCCCTTTTTTTTGCAAATGACACTAATTTTTATGGAATGAAGAATAAAATTAGATAAAAATAAAAATAAAATTCTTTATCCACTGATAAATGTGTGGGCCAAGTTCATAACTTATCTATCATGAACAGTGCTGTAATAAACATGGGTGTAAAGCTATCTCTACTGTATGTTATCCATTGGGCTAATTTTACTATTTTCCTTTTGCTTTCACTATGTTTAAAATTTTCTATGTACAAAAGTTCTACAAGTTCATTGCTGAAACGGATATTTCAGAAAAGAATTTTTTTGTTGGTTGTGGGGCTTGAACTCTGGGCCTGTGGGCTCTCCCTCAGCTCTTCACTCAAGGTGAAGCTCTATCACTTGAGCCACAGCACCACTTTGGTATTCTGGTGGTTTTATTTGCAATAAGAGTCTCTCAGACTTTCCTGCCCAGGTTAGCTTTAAACCATAATCCTCAGATCTCAGCCTCCTAAGTAACTAGGATTACTACGTGGGTCAGAAAAGAAAATTTAAATGACCTGCAATCTTACCCTGCAAAGGTGAGCACTACTATCATTCTAGAGTGTATTCTTGTAAACTTTAAAATAATATATAGCATAGAAATCCTATTAGGAATGGTTTTTAAATCTGCTTTCTCATGTAAGGTAATATTTTTCCATGTCATAAAGAATTCTAAAACATTATCCTTAATATTTGCAATGGCATTTTAGTTCCTAACATTTATTTAATCGATTTTCTTTTGTTTTTGTATTGGTACTGTGGTACTATGAATACAAGGCCTTGTACTCTACCACTTGAGCCACATCTTCACTTCCAGCTTTTTGCTGATTAATTGGATATAAGAGTTTCTCAGACTTTTCTGTAGCAGGCTGGCTTTGAACCCAGATCCTGAGATCTCAGCCTCCTAAGTAACTAGAACTACAGGTGTGAGCCACTGGCGCCCAGCTACTAAAATTTTTGCTCCTTGAAAATATTTGAGGGAATGACTGATTCATTTTAAGTAGAATTAACTATTTGACATAGTGCCTATATTCATAACCACTCAAGAGGCTGAGTCAGCAATGGAATTTCCTCTTTCTCCTATAAGCTGTCATATCCCCAAGGCTGAGATGCTTTCTACTTGATAATGGACTTTAAGTTTCTAGCCAGTGTTTATTTCTGCCTTCCACAACATGGGCAACAGGCCAGTGAGACTCTTATCTTCAATTAACCACCAGAAAGCCAGAACTGGCTCAAGTAGTAGAGCATAAACCTTCAGCAACAGCAAAAAAAAAAAACTCTGGAAAGCCAGGCCAGTACAGGTGGCTCACGCCTGTAATCATACCTATTCAGGAGGTAGATATCTAAGGATCACCATTTGAAGCCAGCCTGGGCAGGATAGTCTGTGAGACTCTTATCTCCAATAAAACTACCAAAAAAGCTGACTACTCGGAGGCTGAGATCTAAGGA